GTTGCTTTTTTAGACTCGAGACTCATGCTACCGTTAGTGTTGTGGTCTCTGGTATGTGGCCTTGAACCACACCGGGGCCGCCGCGACGTTGTTGGTGTTTTGGCCGAAAACTCCGCACAGCTACCCGGCCAGTTCAAGAAGGCCGCAGACGACGGGGACGCAATCATTCATCAGATGATTGATGAACTTGTAAATTTACAAATGTCTGAATTATTGGGCGAATGGACACGTGCACAGGGGTGTGTGATTAGACTGTCCCGCATGGCTGACGGGCCCACAGTGAAAAGGTAGGGCGACATTGGGTTAGGAGAATGCGACGACTGGGTGAATGGACGCGAATCAGTACGATTCACTGCGTTGGCTTTTGTTTAGAAGCTCAGGCGAGATTGCTTTGTGCTGTGTTTACTATTTTGCCATAGCTGCATTTTTATTTGCCTGCTGCAAATTGGAAAATAATTTCATGAAAGTGAGTGCCCAAAGTGTAGACAGGATTTGCCGCCACTAAATTAGTCAACGCTTAAAATTTAAAGTATTAGTATAAATGGTTACTTCACTGTTTCCATAATGTTTTGCAATAATGCACAATTCAGTTTATAGATTTGAAAGCACCAAAGATGCAATTCTGGGTCCTATGGTATCACACAAAATAAGGTGTTTAATTTCGGCTGTTCCTAATACATACTATACTGTTACGCACCCACAAAGAACTAGATAATTGAAATGGCGATGCGCTTCATGCCTACCTGCTACATATGGCTTCTTATGTCAACGAAAGTAGCAAGTTTAATGGATGCGTCAAACGTGTGAGCAGAATGGCACGTTGATTTCTCTGGTCGCCTGCTTGATGACAACACGGGCCTGTGATTGCGTGATTTAAAATCTAATTTAACCTTCCTATTACAAACAGTGTCACTTATTGTAGTTAAATTGTCATTTTTTCTGTTGAAATAAACTTGCCTTTGTCTGGTTTGCCTTTGGCCTTATTGGCTTGCATTCAGTAACCAGTGAACTAGGAACCTTCGCATTTTATGCTAATTATTTTAATAGTTTTTTGCATGTGTTCTTTTGCGAAATGCTTCATAGCCGACTTTTGCCTTCCGGACAATTCTAAGGTTAAAGTTTAGGTTTGTTTAGAAAACCACTGCAGTAGTGAAGGAGGATTAAATATTCCGCCTATTTATATTTCATTATTTTAGAAAGAAGCCCCAAAAGTGTTCAGTGAACAGCATGGTTAGTCTATCGTTTAAGAAGAAATAAACCTACACATCGAACAATAAATATAACACTTCATTTGCAACCGAGACTGGCTTACACTCTTTGATGCCTTTGCACTAAATTTGAGTCGAGGTCAAATAAATTGCGTGTTACTATGTTTTAGGCAGGTGACACCGATGCCCACTTGTCAAATTTTTATTTTTATAAAACGTGAACTATTATTACTAAAATAGCTACATTTGGACATAGCCCCCGTTAAAATTGGTATGGGCTAAAAATGCTACATCCAAAATTATTTTCCGAAGCATAATTTAGACACCAAGACTTATTTTGTACACAAATTGCAACCTCACTGGTTTGCTATTTTGGTGTAACCTGAACAAGAAAACTAGGGCTGTCATGTTAGCAGCGCTTTACGCGGTGCGTGGATTTAATTTGGAAACGTTGTAAGTGACAGTGACAGTTTTGTTTAAAACCGTGCTAGTTCTTTTTACGTAGCCAGCACGTAGTTGAAACACCGAATAGAAGAATTATCCCCAAACAGCCTGTTTTCTGTTTGATGGAAAAATATCCCAGAGAAATTTCAATCTTGCATAGGCTTTAAAAAAATAAGAAAAGTTAAGTTTTAGGACTGCTACATTCTTAAATGTGAGGTAAAATGTACCGTTTAGATCTATTTTCGAATACATCATAGTTATAATGGAAAAGGCAAATGAAACAATTGCTATATAGTCGTTTGAAGGATATTCTAATTTACGGAACACGGTGAGAAACTTGTTTGAAATATTTTTACTCTTGGCACTACCTTAGGGTAAGTTTGCTTGCATTTTAAGGCAAAACATAGAACGAAACCTTATTAAGAACTCTCTTTCATGTTTGTGGTTTAAAGGATATTCATAAGATAGCCGCAATTAGTTGTTTGAAATCTCTATTATTATAAATGACTAGAAATCTTTTCGTGACACAAATTACCCATGCTCTCTGTCCGCTAAACTTAAACTCTTAACTAGGAGACAAAAAACGCATGCAAATTATATAAGTTAATCTTAACCAATATTTATGATAAAGGAATTACGTATAATTGGTGGTTTTCATATTTCCGAAATATTATTAAGTAACTGACCTTCAAGGCAGCTTTTAAATCATTTTCACGACTTTTACTTGTGTCTGTTAATAGATCCTACCATTTTTTATGATGCACTGTGTTTTTTGTGTCGCCTAAATTCACTATAAATATTTCGGATTCTAAATACTTAGCTAATGGAAGTCTTTTGCTGCCATTCATGAACTTATTTTCCTAAATTGGTTTCGGCCTAATTTGCTTGATGTGCATAAAAGAATGCTTCTAATATCGACGAACATTAGATCGTGCTGCAGGTTTTAAGACACACTGATTGATTTAATAAAAAAAGAACGCAGAATTTGACACATTTGTTGTTTTAACCAGAACTTAACAGAGCGATTAACTGGCAGTCGGTACGTTCTTCGTTGCATTGTTTTAAGTAAACATGGACTGCTTGAACACTAAAAGCCATAAAATTTAACTTTATCGAGGCTTGTTGACGTAATTGCAATAAAGTCAACCCAGATAGGAATGGTTGCCAAGATTCCTCGACGCTGACCCAACTTGATAAGATCCTGTCTGATTTGCAAAGATTTTGCTGCCTGAATACTACGGAAAACCTTGCAAAGGATTCCATTTCGAATTAGCAACGACAAGCAATGATTTATCTTGAATTAGTTATGCATTTAGCCCGTTCACTTTTAAGGCAAATGGCCAAGTGCGTTGTTACAATTTTTGATGAGGGAGAGCACTTACAAATCACGCAGCGCCTTCTTCACAAAAAAGCAGACACGTTTTGCTGCTATGAATGGGAACCTTTAGTTTGTTGACGAGTGAATTAACGCAGGAGAGTGCTTTGAAGCTATAAAGTTGAATTAGCGGTCCCAAAATTAGCTCACAATTTAATCAGTACTTTCGAATTCATTTTTAAAGACATTTTTTTACAAAACATTTTAGAAAGCGACTCCACTGCAAAGTATTAGTTCATGATGCTATTCAATGTTTAGCTTTTAACGCACTTAATTAAATAGATAATTAATTAAAGTGGCTGAGGAACAGAGCAGACCAAGTGGTCTTCACTGGTAGCAATGCGAATTGTCATATGAGACATGTGGTTGGCACAAACTCAAGGAAAATCTTGTGGAGGGCCATCACAATCACTCCTGCATTGGATTTTGTGGAGAAAAGTTGCTACTGTTAGTTTTTCTGCGGACAAAAAGCACTCACGTTCGACTATTTTGGCTCTGTTTAACGTCTTAGATTTAAAACCTGGACATAGACTGATAGCCGTTGCACACATCAGTGTGGGTTTTGCTGGCGAAAAATGCTTGCGTCCACCTCAACTTGCAGTCTATGAACATTAGAGTAATAAGTTGCAACACTGGATCATTTAGTTTGCAAAGAGGCTTTCGTCGGCTCTCAAATGGAAGGTTTGTTTTGACTATGCTGAGATGGCACCATCCATTGGTATGGATTACATTTTTGACTCACCGACAGCAAGTGGAGATTCCAGGTCTATCCTGTTAGATAAAAAAACCAGATCAAGGTGTTAATTTGTGTTCCTCTCTATTTATACCTTTAATTCACTTTAAGCACGACTTCCCATTGCGTTCCGTCTTTCCATTTGCATTGTAAAATCCAACATGGGAACAGACATAATGTACTGGGTTGCAAGTTTATAGTAAACGCTGAACTTATTTTTAATCACAGAAAATAGAATTATAAGGTGCTTCTTATAACTAGTGTTGCGGTGTCCGAATATTCGATTGTGGTGCAATTAGATCCATCAGTTTCGTCAAATTATATAACTTGAGTTATTACTAAAAAACCCAATTTTCAAATCTTGTAGCTGGGTTTTTTAATGCGGCACAAAACTATCGTGAGGAATACGCTAGCGCAACTGGTGAAGATGGGCATTCAGTTTTCAAAAAAATTGCAATTCCTGTTCATTGTCTTCCGCTAACTGTAAGTGTGCAAATTTGAGAAAAATCAATATTTAAATGACGGCTCATGGAACCAAAAATCCCTACATAATCTATAAAACTGGCCAGATGTGATGCCGTTATTTTACCTTCAAGAAAAACAGCTGGGAAATAAAAATGAATGTTTACATACCTACCTGACAGATAAGTCAAAGTAGACTAGAGCTACTATCAATTCTGAATATCGAAGTAAACGTCCTTGGTATGTTGTGGTTAAAACCAATTAACACATAAACTCATTTTTCTAAGATTTTTAAGCGTTAATTAGCGAAATGACTAAAATCAGTTTAGGTTTTCCGTTACTCCATTCGAGCAATTAATCATTGGCAAGTTAATTAGACTAGTGACGCAAGTAACGCGATGCATCAGGTAAGGCTTGATTGTTTTTTCTGAAAACGGGCCTTAGGGATTTGTGGGATCGCAAACACCAAACTGTCAATTGTGCTACAAAAACTAAAGTTCATTCAGCTTTCAGAGTGAAATGTACTTCCACAGAGGCAGGAATTGCAGCCATAGGAAAATTTTGTAACCCTGACTCGCTGTATCAATGGATGGCGAAAAATGATCAACAAACATAATGCAACCCAAAATTTAAAAAAAAAACATTTTTTCGAAGTATTGTCATGGCTACATATTCACAGGATCAATTTTCGTTTGCGTTTATTGGAATATATACACACAAAAAGACAAAAAAAATAAGTAAGAAACAGAGAGGTGATGCCAGGCAACCTCGTGGTAGTTTAACAAGCACAAATGGTACCAGATCGCTCCGCAAAATTATTCGCCTGCTTATTTAACCTCGCCTCCGCATCTTGACAAGTAAATGAACTAGAATCATGTTTCGGACGCAGTTGGATAGTCTGTAGCATACGCTTTTGTAAATCCCGTCGGACGGGTCTCCGTCGTTCGCAGTGAAGACACATGTATTTCCATCGGGACACATTTTGCTTAAGAAGCCATCGGAAGCGTCGCCCAACTAGCCCATAGATGAGAAAGTTACTGGCAAAGTTTAGCATCGCGGTGAACAAGGCGATGGCGTAGAGCGAATGCATGGCCACTCGATCCTCTTCTTTCACCCAAATCATCGAGTAAAGGTCGCGGAAAAAGTAGAGCGCTGTGGGGGTCTCACATATTATGAATACGCTTATCACACAAACCAGCATCGCAGAGATGTTTCGAGCCTGGTGGGTTCTTCGTCTTTGCCTCTGGTGCTGGTTTTGCGATTCATTGGTGGTCACTGAATTTTGCTGTCTGTAATGATCAAGCCTTCCAAGGCGGGGTGTTGCTGGTTTTAAGTATTTTTCATGTTTCGTGGAAGTGTACTCCTGATCAGTGCCTTGCAAATGTGTATCCAAAGAAAAGTCAGTTATAATGGTGGGGTTATGGTGCATTTTATCGTCGAATCCTTTCAATATCTCCACACTTTGCAGTTTCCAGATAAGGTAGACGTTTACGAAGAGGAGACAGAGGAGTGGGATAATAAAGGTGACAATTTGGTCTATCAGCTGTACGTAGACGAGCCAGAACATTTTGTACCAAGGCCTGTCCCGAAAAATGGGCTCACAAGAGCCGCACTGCTTCATCCAATCATAATAGCAAAAGTCTAGAATGAGAAGGGGCAGTTTGATGACTAACCCCACCAGAGCAATCAGTGCTTGCGACCTCTTTGCATTTGATACTGTGCATATGCGTGCGGATTTAAAGGGATACCTGAGGGCAACGAATCGGTCAATAGAGATGGACACGATTGTGTAGGCCTCGGCAAATTTGAACCAGCCCAGTAGAAAGAGGATGGGAGAATCCGCTGACCACACAATTTGTATGAAATAGGAAAACCACTCAAGTCGCTGATAAAGTAGAGGAACGATGTAGTAGACTGCGTAGAGAATCAAGAGAAGGAGGTCCTGTGTGGCGAGAACAAGCATCAGATAACGTGCCGTGTTTCTTTTTGTGTCCGACTTTAAGACGCATATTGTTAGGATGTTGGCCGGTATCCCAAACAGCACTACGACAGAACAAACATAAACCACAAGAATAAAATTGGACCCCTGGAGACCCTGCCTGCAATAATCTCCGTAATGGCTTTCATTTATTTGCTGTGGATCCGTCAGGTTCGGTAGCATTGCCGATAATCTCCAGAAAAGCACATAATGTCGATCCACTAATGGAGAATTTATAGGAGAATGTGTCCCGTATACACCATTTTGCTCTTGGTCACTGATTCGCTGTGCGTGTCCGCCTAATAACTGCTGGTGCTTCAATGATCCAATTGGATGAATTTACTCCAAGAGACAGTAGTAGTGGAAACACGTCCTCCACACAGGTTGTCAAACTGTGTCACAAAGACGCAGAAGAAGGGAGGCAGTCCCGTACTGATTGATTTTGTGTTTTCGGTTATATTAAGTAAATGCCCTAAAAGAATTTCACTAAACAAAATTTAAAACAATGCCATATTTTGCGGATTGTCCAAGGCAAAAGCTGTCAAGGTGTTAAATACTACCGGGAATTTATAAATAGCATATGTAAAACAATTTATATTCATTCAGGTTGTAAAGTTTTTACAGATCTGCATTTAAGACTTCAATTTTTTTAAATACGACTTGCTAAACCACTAATTTATATAAATAACGTAGCCATGAGATAAACCTACCAGGCATGTAAATGTGGCATACTTGTGTAACTACCACACTGAAATTTTGGAGGCAGTAAAAATAAAACGATACGTGCAATCTTTTTAAAGGAACATAAAGTCAAAGATATTCTGTAAGAAATTTCAGCATGGGATGGAATTGCGGAAACAAAGAATGCCAGATCATACAATTTCAACACAAAAGAGTTATTTAAAGTAAATCGAAAGCTTTCTTAAGGCAAAATATCACACATTTAAGGGTTGGAAGGACTAGCAAGAAAGAGTAAGTTCATTACAACAGAGGATAGAATGACTCAGGACGTAGCAATCACCAGAATATACTTTGTCCTGATGGATTATACAAACGCTTTTAACTGTCAATAGACGAGGATGATTTCCTTTTTAAACATTTTGAAGGAAATAAACTAAATGAAATGTCGCTTTTTTGGACTAACAAGTGCTGCATTGTAAAAACGGCCCACACGCCGCTTTACTTAGCAAATTGTCTTCCGTTTGTCCGAGTTGTATTTGTGCACAAAATTTTGAAACTGAATTTCTTGCATTTCAAGATCTAACAATTCTTTTATAAACACATCTACTTCTTAAAATGTCCAAGCATGCATAAATTGGAGCATTTTTCACTTTGATAGTCAAAAGACTGCCTGCTCACAACCGAGTGAAGGATTGTTTAATTTTTGTGCATAAGTAAAGAATAAATTCACAAACTAGCATTCATAAAAATGCACATTCACGGTTTTAATTAAACCCCTTGATTCGAGTGGCGTGGCTACTAAAGTGGACTTTTAATGGTTCGGTGTAAGTTCTTACCGAGCCATAAACATCGAAATGCCCGGTTTATAGTGCAATATATGCGGACTGGATGATAGCAACAACTTTTGAAATCGAAAAAAATTAATATTCTACCAACTTGCTACATTCATTGACAGTAACATCGATGTGTATGAGCCCGGAAACCCGCGAAGGCAATTTGGATACAGAAGTTGACCGAGTCGTTTTTGTACATTGTGGTGGCAGGAGTAAGCCGAAGCGTGAAAATATACGAAGGGGGTTTCTTTAATGCTGAATAGCTCTAGAGATCAGACGCTTAATACGACTGCTTGTCTACAGAGAAATTTCTCGGTTTGAATCTGAAGCATAATGTTTTGAAATGTAAGTCATTAATTTATTAATAACTTTTTTGGTCATAATGAATGAAAAAATCGCTGTACAGGTCGACTGTCTAATGCTTTCCTCTTTCGATAATGAGATAATTATTAGAAAATATGCGAGAAAACTTTCTTTGTGAGATTCTCACGCAACCTTCCTCGCATATATATTTCTTTAAACGAGGACATGAAGTGAATAGATTTTGCATCAAAGGAGACTTTGGAATCCGTGTCGGTAACTCATGTGCCTTAACATTTAAACAGAGGCCAAAAATTCTCCTTCAGTGCATCCACAAACGGTCTTCTATGGGCCATTCTCTGGCGTTTACTCCTTCAACAAGTATACGGATGCCCCTCTAGTCATCCGTGGAAATACCATGTTTACATTGCCGAAAGCATTAGTATGAAACTCTAGGATTTTCGTTACATTTAACAGGTAATCCTCCCAGAAAGGGGATCGAGGCCAACAAATTACGTGTCTTTCACCATTGGCTTTTCTTGTTAGGTAGATGAGCTGGTTCAAGTGTGAGTTAGACTTATCACCCAAACTTTATCCAATTTCCATCTATGTGTACATCATCGGACCCTAATTAACACACCCTTAGTTTTTTTAAGAAAAGGACGCTTTCTTTTCTTGGCGCAATGTACAGCATCCTGATGAAATACCGATTGTGTAAAAAATGCCTCGGATCCGTTTTCAGGTAGGGGTAAGGCAGGATTTTGCAGCCGCCTTGGTAACCTCCCAACGCCATATTCTTAAGATTCCATACCAATTATAAATCCAGGCAAGTCGGTTATCATTAGACATAAAAGCCCATTTGTTTAGACAATTTTATGTCAGGGGACCTGTTAATAGCCGCTTGGACCAAATGCTCAAGAGGTGGAAACAATTATGTTTTGGTACTTGTGCATTCATGGTAGGATTTTCCAAAAAAAATTATAAGTATCTTTTGGTAACTGTGGCATTCAAATAGGCTGGGTGGTTTCTAAACACCCCAGCTAATAGCTCGATCCGTTTTGTTAAGCACCTCTCCGATCACGATCCTACATGAATGGGATTGCGGCCCCTCATTAGACGAACAAAATCACCCTAATATTTAGTGAACAGAAATTTGGGAAAAATTTCAAAAAGGGATTATGTTATTGTCTTCAACTTTGTTTTCTTTACTTTAGGCCTCAAGAAAACGAGAGGTGACAGTCGAGTGGACATGGAGCACACATCTTAATTACCACGGAGAGAATCAACTCTAACACGATGGAATCGGCTACTAAAATTTTCAAATGTTTTTTTTCTGACGCAAACCCATCTCCATTAAAGACCAACTCCCGAGAGTGCAATCAACAGACGTTATAAGAAACCGTGCACGCAAGTCTGTCTACCTGATGCAATTTAAGTTCTTGTCTGTCCGAATGGATACAACAGGGTACTTTTGCCCACATTTACTGGTCCTTTCTCTATATGGAAATATCTGTGCATAGTTACTTCGTAGCCATCCTTGCTGGGCAATTCAAAAGCGAATTCGAGACTTTTGGTCAAAGTGCGCGGGAGCAGCTAAAGAGCCTTTTCAGCACGAGAATCTATAAAGGTGTTGCGAAAGAGAAAATTTACTAAAATTTTACTTCTCACCATGATGTCGGATGCTACAACACTCATTTCGAACAATTTCAACAGTGGTTTCTTGCAGAAATACGTTTTTAAATTAGGCATTTTTACAGTCATAATCTTGTAAGCAGACTTCACAGTTAAATCAACCTGACATATTTAATCTGGTCTGATTAGGTCATCAAACTTTGATATGCAAGAATTATAAGACTACCTCTTTTACGCGACTGTCGTTCTGATTGAGATGCAAGCCAATCTAAGATATCGCAGGTTTTTGTACAAAACTACTGAACACGATTTAAAAATGCTGTGAACCGTCAGTCATATTGCATGAAGCTCGCAAGCAAGAGTAGTGAGCATTTTTAAAAAAAAGTGTGGACCTGAAGGAATACTTAAATGCACTACCTGAAATAAAGATTCATTAGCACCTAAGTTAAATGTCGCGAAAGTACAATTATTGCGTGCATGCATGCAGTCAGCCTCTAGTCATCGCTTAGCTCCACGCCGTGACCAGACATTCACAATCTAGGTGTCAATTTTATCACTTCTTCGTCTACACGCACAAGAGTGGACCTTTTCCGCACGCCACCATAGACTGGAGGCAATTACGCATAGAGCATTAAATAACAGTGAGCATTCTGGCCCTGACATTAATTTTTTTCAAATGCGCAGTTTTTAGCAAATAAAATCATATTGCACTTTCAGCAAATTAAATTTGGAACGTTGAGTTAATTCCCACGAGCCTCGTTGAAGAGGACTGAATACTGACCCATTTCAATGTTTGCCTAAGCATTGTTTCAAAAGCGTGTATCTTTGGATAATTCTTCTACTGTTTGATATTCTCAATCAATACACAGCACATGACATCCGGGCAACAGCGAAAATCTTACAATTTGAGCTTTATAGTTAGCCTAACTCATGCATTCGATCCTAGATATGCTGCTGCAGGCCGTCGTGTTCATTTTCCGTGATAAGTCTTATCTAAACACTTAGAGAGTAAATTGGAGCCTTTTAGTACCGGTAACTCCAGATTTGAAGTTGCTGTCTTCACAGACGCACTCACAGTGCTTCTTTTTAAGGTTTTATTTGCAAAAAAATGGAAAGGCTTTGTGTGCAAAACATAGAAACTCCAACATACAGGTCCAATTTTTTTTCCACCATGTGATGTCCAGACTTGAACAGATGCTATTGTGTGTAAGAGAATGCTAATTTAAAAGGTGACTACTCAGTGAAATCAAATTACTTCATAGGTTACAGTGGTCAAGCAAGAGCGGGGCATGAAGGTTAAAGGCAAGGGTAGAAAGCCAAAAGATTTAATGTGAGCAGGTTAGAGTGGGGAGAAATTATGTGCATTTAAATGAAAACAACTTCTTTGTAGTATTGTTGTGAATGGAAAGTTTTAACGTTTTTTTTTAAAAAAAGAAACTCACGTCAATGCAGCGAGGTTTTGTTTTATACGACTGAGTTGGATAATTTAGAATTTATAGGAAAATTTTAATGTTTGTTGAATTATAACGGTTTTATTATAGACATAATTACGCAGTGTTTAATTCACACCAGGGTCGCCAATGCAATGCATAACTTGTTTACAGTTAAAAAAGGTGGATATAATCAAAAGTGTGAAATTCCCTAATCAGTTTTTGTTAGAATTTTTCAGGGATGCATAGGGACTCACAACTTAAGATGAACCACCAAACAATGACAAAACGAAACCGTGGGTATTAC